GTCTCACTATGTAGTGCAGGCTGGCCACGAACTCAAAGTGATCCTCCTCCTCAGCTTCCTGAGTGCTGGGATTACAGGTGTTCGCCACCGTGTGTGGCCTGATTTATTACTTTTTAAAGAGTTTTTGCTTTTAGCTGGACATGTTAGCACATTGCTGTAGTTCCTGCACTCTGGGAGGTGGAGGCAGAAGAGTTTTGAGTTCAAGCCTAGCCTGGGCAACTTAGCAGCGACTTAGCAAGACCCTGTCTCAAAATAAAAAATAAAAGGCCTTGGGACATAGCTTAGTGCAGAGGCCCTGGGTTCAATCCTCAGTAATCCCCTGCCTCCTATCTCCCACAAATGCTTTGCGCCTTTAATAAGAAAGGGCTTAGAGGAAGTATTGGTAACTAATATTGTTCTTGTTAGAATAATTTCTAACAAGTTTGCATTTCAATACATACCTCATATAAAATGATAAAAACTAAAAAAGCTAAAATTTTGAAATACTGAGATAGTTTATATAATTTTTTTTTTTCTTTTTGTGACCCTGAGGGTTGGGCTCAGGACTTCTGGCATGCTAGGTGAGCACCCTGCTACGAGCTACACCCTCAGCCAAGTTAGTATCTTTTTTAAAGGTAGTATTTACCAGACTTTGTACGCCAGGCACTTTCTAAGTTATAAACATACATTAAAACTAAAATAAGCACAATCCAACTCTAACACATTACTTTTATTTAGAGTGCATTGCTATTTGTGTACATTTCTAACTGCATACAAAGATTGTTTGTGTTGAGGTGAAGGGGATTTATAGGGCCTAGGACTTTGGCTCTGTAGAAATGTCTGTCATTTATTGTGTACATCATTATTCACTACAATAAGTAAATGTAATCTTTTATTTTGCGGCAACTGTATTGGCCAGCTCTCTCATTGCTGGGATACCTACAACTTAAATGAGGTTTATTTTGGCTCACAGTTTGAGCGTTCGGTCCATGGTGGGCGGGCTCCAAAGCAGAAGCGTCATGGCAGAATGGCATGGTGGAGCAAAGCTGCTCACGTCATGGTAGGCAGAGCAGAGCACAGAAGAGCGCCAGTGAGAAATACCCCTCCAAAGGCACACCCTCAGTGATCTGCCTCCTCTAACTAGGCTCCGACTCCTGACAGCACACTCAGCTGTGAGTATCCGTGGGTCAGTTCACTAATGAGCACAGCACCTCCATGACCCGGTCACCTCTCCAGGAGTCTCAAACCGGTCAAGTTGGCAGTTGAGACAAACTGACACAACAGCCCTCTGAAGCAATGTTGTCATTGCCTCTTTGTTTGTTTTTTTTTTTTTTTTCTTCCAGTATCAGGAATCGAACTCATGACATTGCGCTTGCCAAGCAGGCGCTTTGCTGCTGAGCTAAATCCCCAGCCCCATTGCCTCTTATAAAGTGAGAAAATAAGAAGTTAGGTAATCTGCTCAAAATTGTGAAAACAGAAAGTGGTGTTACCAGGATCCAAACCCTCATCCGCTGTCCCCAGAGCATGAGGACATGTGCAGGACCCTACACTGCTGTGAACGGTAACCTTCCTGGCTGAGCCGTGTGTGCTCGTCATTGAGGCTGTTGCTCTGGTTGATCTCTCCTGTCTTACGGCTCAGTGTTTTATCAGATTTCGATCGTCAAGTCATTTTCTTCTATAGATATAAATAGATATATAGAAGAGCATGGTGACTGTTTTTTTTAAAAGGGATTATGATGAGACGAGCAGATAAGAATCAATCTTAAGCTCTGAGATGCATATTAATTAGTTAAGAGATGCTGGAAGATTACTTTCCCTCCCATGAACAAGGGAATACTGCCTTCACAGGAGGGAGGGCTCCTTCTCCAAATAGAAAGGACATGACTATGCACAAAAGACCAGAGGACTCTGCTTCCGGGCGCCCCTGAAAATAGGCCCCACACGTGTGCACACCCACATGTGCAGGCCCTGGTGAGGTCAGGTTACGGGCAAGGATGAAAGCTATATACTTGCTGGGCCCAGTTCAAGGCTTCACAGCATCTATTTACTAGTAACCTACAAAACATACAAGAATATATATATAGATAGATAGATAGATAGATAGATAGATAGATAGATAGATTTATTTATTTATTTATTTTAAGAAAGTTGAATTGTCCAGAGAAAGGGTCTTGGGGCCCTAATTGAAGCCATGTCTTCGTATGCACATGGTTTGAGTGAATCTGTTCTCCTCTGTACTCTCTGGATTTTCCCTAGACCTGGAGCCCCAGAAAGAACAAGTGTCTGTCCAAAGGATAACCAACTATCGTGTGTGGTTCTGAAGTACTCAATAAACACTAGCTGCCCATGAGTAAGTCTAAAATATAGAGCATACTTTAATGAAGCTGATCATTTTTTCGTTTGTTTAGATGATTATCTTTTCATATTTTTAGATGGAATCTATATTCTTAAAATTTACATCCTTTGTTCTTGGGGGTCATTTTCTTATGCTTTTGAGTGATCTCTATTCTACAACACTTGGAAAATACAAGGAAGCATGACTCAGAAGTCATGATTAATTTCTTACCGTCACACACCTTCACAAGCACATTGCCAGGTTCTGTTAACGTTTCCTCCAAAATATGTCCCATGTATCACACGCATCGATTTCTTTAATCTGCACTTTCACTGTCAGGCCATCTGCCTTCTGTTCTCCAATATACAGAGTTCTTTCCCAGCCTCAGGTCTTTGCACAAGGGTGATCTCAGCCCAGAATGTTCTATCCCAACTTTTTCATGGCTGGCTTTGTGTCCTTCAGGCTCTAGCTTGAAATATTCATCCGCAGAGAGCCCTTTCCTGTCTAACCTATATCAAGAAAGTTTTCTCTTCCTTTGTGTGTGTGTGTGTGTGTGTGTGTGTGTGTGCATGTGCACGCATGCACTCATGTCCACGCATGTGTGTAGTAAGGGCCTTTGTACTGAGCTACATTCCCAGCCCATTTACTTATATGCTTGTTAATTCATTGACAGGGTCATGTTAAATGGATCAAGCTGCCCACAAACTTGTAATTCTCCTGCTTCAGCTTCCTGAGTAGCTGGGATTATAGGTGTCTGCCATCACTTTCTCCTTCCTTTCTTATATTCTTTTTCTAAGCAGTCTCTTCCTAGTCTTTGTAGCACTTATCATCATTTAAAATAACATAAATATTCTAAGTTCTTTGCATGGAGTTGATGAATTAATATTTGTAAGATTAGAATAGAACATCAGGCACATAACTGCTATGTAAGTGTTGATACAAAAAATCAACTTTAATTCTCACAGCAATCCTATGTGGTAATAGTATTAATATTCCTATTTCATAGATGAGCAAACTAAGAATCAGAGAAAATGAACAACTTGCCCAAGATTGCACAGCTTCCTGAGGGAGTAACAGAGCCTCACTATAAATTCTGTCTGACACAGAAGTCCACATTCTTAACTATTTTTGATATTGTCCTTTGTCCTTTGGTTACAGGGTCTACCTAGCACATTCTTTGCCACCTAATAGATATTCTTGAAAAATATTTGATAAATGAAGAAATAGCTCTAATAAGAAAACAAAATTTACCTATAATTCTGTCACAAAATAGTTTTAGGAATTCATCTAGATTTTTTTTCTAACACAAGGATAAACTTTTAAAAAGTAAAAATCATAACTTTTAGAAATCATTTTGCAGACCCTATATTAGCATGTACCATATCTTTAACATTTCATTCATTTTTTAAAATTATAATTGCAAATCAGTGTTCTTCCTTTAGGCAGAAGAATACAGGGGAGAGAAGAATACATCTTAGGCAGAGGAGGGTTTTCCTAAAATATTCTGGCTTTTCTTAGAATCTCTAGGCAGAGGTTGCCAAACTTAACCTGGAAAGTTTAGGAAAGTCAAAGACATTTTAGCAGTGAGAGTTTTAAAAAATTATACTTCTTTAAATCAGTGTATTTTAAAATTTATCATGAGGCCGGGTATGGTGGTGTGCACCTGTAATGCCAGCACTCAGGAGACTTAGGCAGGAGGATTGCTGAGAGTTCAAGGCCAGCCTGGGTTATAAAGTGAGTTCAAGGCCACTCTGAACTGCATAGTGAAACCCTATCTCAAAAAGACCAAAAAATTTTTTTAAAAAATTATCATGAGAACTGTTTTTAAAAGATCAATCGGTAAAAGTTTTCTAAAGCACTGCAAAGCCCATGTTTTACAGTACAAATTAGACCACCTACCAGGATTACAGGGCTCTATTAATGGGAAAAATGGATAAAAAGACAGGGCTGACCAAAAAGCAAGAAAAACAAGCAAAGGCTGTTAGTAGAACACTGAGAGGTAGCTTCTCCAAATACTGGTTTGCTCAGGTGCAAAGTTTTTTTTCTCCTTGACTTTTAAAATAGTTTCAGGATAAGTAATCTGTGACAGCTGGTCATCAAAGCCATGCCCACTAATGGAAGGACCACTCTCTCTTCGCCTGACTCTAAATAATACATCCGCGTCATTCTCGAGAGAGTATTAGATCAATTTGTTGCTCCATCCCAGTGTCTCTTCTGTCACTGTATAATGACAAGATGAAGCCAGACCGCCACACTGGATGGTGTATGGTTACAGTTGCAGACACTGCATTTGTGGGCAGCCCACATTTCTGAGATAAAGTTAGCTGATAGGATTACCGGGGCAATATCAAATGCAGCCTGTGTAGAGGGGGCCTTCATCACGTTACCTTTGAAAATATTTGAATTAAGAAACACCATACACTGAATACAAAATCCGTGAATATCTGGCCCATGGGTGTGGCTTAGGACTTATTATTCTTAGCCAGATCCTATTTTCTTTGGGGGATAAATAGACATCTGGAGCTAGGAATAGATATTGAGAAAGTAGAAATTAAAACAGGGAGTCAAGATGAGTATTTGTGAATGCTCTTAAAAGGCAAAAAAAAAAAAAGACAAAAGTTTAGATCACATTAGAAGTGCCTTGTTTTTCTTCAACATGATTTTTTGCTTAAAGGAGCCCAGCAGCAGCGGCACACCGTGATAATGAAGCTCCCTGTTTGTTCTATTATTCAGTTGCAGTCAGCCTCCAGCTACAGAAAGAAGAGAGATGATTTAAGTGAAAGGATGGCTCATCTGCGCCGCCAGCCCTCTCACCTTGTTCACTCCATGCTGTCGAGTGACCGAGGTGCAGGTGAGTGTCTGCTGTCGCTGCCAGTGTTTTATCTCTTCATGCTGGTTGTCGTTTTGTGTTGGTTGAAGACTTAGTGTGTTATTTTGGTTTTTTAGCGTATTATTTTGTGCAGAACAAACTAACAAAGGATCATGTGCTTAAAGCTCCTAAGTATAAGACAATCACTTTCTGAATGACAAATACAGGGAGGAGCATCAAGAATTTGGATTGTTGAATTATCACCTCCAACAGTCAACTCTTATTCTAACTGTTGTTAGTAGGGTTCAACTCAGAAGAACGGCACTCGGGACCACAGGGATCAGGTGGTGGCGCTAACCAGGACTTCGGTGGAGGAAGGCACGGAGGGTGAGTGGGAACAACGCCATGGCTGGGTCACAGACACCTTCACCGTTTTGCCTGGCTAGCAGAAGTCTAAACACAGAACAGAGGGTGCCGGGGATGCGGTCAAAGGATGGTCACAGGTATGTGGTCCCCCCGTTTTCTTTTGGTGATGGAAACAGTCCCCCAATATGTAAACAGAAGAAATATCACCTACCAGCCAGAAACTATGACTTGCTGATCATTTTTTGCCTGTAATCTCTATGGAGTTTTGTTTATTCCATCTATAGGCATTCTTAATTGATTCTATGAGAGTCATTCCAGCCATGGATATCTTCTTGTCTTCAAGAGGCAAGTTATGGAGCTTGGATGGGTACTTCAGAACCAAATTTAGACTTCACGATGAAGTAAACCATGCAGGGAAGTGCAGTCAGCATGGTGAGCACTTTGGGGCTCATCTCTGCCCAGGGCCCGGACTGAAACGTTTTTACGGGTGGGGTTGCTGGATGCCTGGGCCTCATTTGCTCAGCGGGGTGACTATGAGCTGTTGCTGAGCTCACAATGGTCAATGCAGCTGCATAAGAAGCTATGGCGCCAGGTGTATTCCTGGACTTCAGTAAATCCAGTTCGGCTCTACAGAAAGGTTCTATTGGGTTCTGACTGGAATCTCTTTGAAGGTGCGTTTGGATTCCAAGGTTGAGTCGGGTGCTAACATACGACATACTAGTTCCCTCCAGCTACCTGTAAGGGGCCCGTTACGATGCTAAAGATATGAATTCTTTTTCTAGAAAGAACTCTTGATATTTTTAATGTACATACACATGCTCACTTATAATAATAGTAACAATAATAACAGACGCTGTATTTCCATATGTAGTGAGAGACTTCCTTGGGCCTTTGGCTTATCTCTTTCTAAAGATCTATAGCAAAAATAAAAATATCAGTTTCAGTAGAATACTATCTTGGAACTGAGATGAGGCCACCAGTCTTTTCTTCCTTAACAAGAAGGGCTTGGAGTCCAGTGATGAGCCCCTCAAATACAAACAGTGCAGGAGGAGGACTTTTTGTAGCCTGAGTCCTTAAAAGTCCTGTAAAATTAGAGTTTGTCTTCTTTTTCTCTTTTCTCTATAGACATTTAAAAATACTCTTTTTTTAACCTCAAAAATCAGACACTGCTTTATTTTAAATTATGGAATGATTTTTCACCTTTAAATAATATACTCATTCTATAGATATTTTAGAGTTTTAAGGCTGTTTTAAAGATGATCTTATAAATTCAAATTTCTTCCTTTATCCTTTAAATATCACCTCAGATAAGGACTGCCTAGCCTTCTGCTCCCAGGTATTCTTTATTTTTTATTTTTATTTTTTGTCTTTTTGAGACAGGTCTCACTATGCAGTTCAGGCTGGCCTTGAGCTCACTTTGTAGCCCAGGCTAGTCTCAAAACTCGCAGCGATCCTCCTGCCTCAGCCTCCCGAGTGCTGGGATTACAGGCATGCGCCACCACACCCAGCTCCCTGCTATTCTTTAGTATTCCAAGTCCAATATTAGTTTTGGCTTTTAAAAAGTATTTTTAAATACCATTGGCTAAACCCTCACTCTTTGTTAAGCACCATGCCAAGTACTTTACCTGCATTACCCCCTTTCATCACCCAGCAATCCTGTAGGCCAGGTGTAATTGTTCTTATCTTTTGAGAAGAGTAAACTGATACACAGAAGAGTTAAAAACTTGCCAGAGGACATAGAGCTAATGCGTGGTGAGGGCAAAATTCACACCCAGGTCTCTCGATTCCAGCCTTCCTCCTGGGCCTTTGACTCTGCATGGAAACATTGTCCCTAGCTCTTCAACTTGGGTTGGAGCAACCCATAATTCTGTTCACGAAGAACAGATTCCCTCCTTTTATAGTAAACGCCAGCCTCTAGAAGTGATGTAAAGTATCCCGTGGTTATACCCTCCCCATCCCTCCAAATCATTTTTAAACACTTGAGTTCTCTAACACTGACATGTTATCTGTAAAACTATAATTTTTGTATCATGTTTCATAGATGCCTTTACCACATTTAGCTTTTACTCCTTTTTTCTTTGCTCAGTGTTTTCATCTAACGTATTATTTTCGCTTTTGAGGTTAACGAACTCGTAAGTTCATAGATCAGACAAATTTGGATGAGCAAGGACTCACAGATCCGTGCTCCCAGCCCCATCACCGGCCGGGCTGGGAAGGGCAGCCTGTGGCTGCATCCACCCACGCTAGGAAACCTCAGGGCCCAGCTCTTGCTCAGGGCCAGAGACAGCCTCAGTCACTCCTAAAACTTGGGATACTTTTACTACCTCTAAGTAGTTGTCTCAGAAGGTCACAGATTAAAAAGAGATATTTAAAAGGGTTTTTAAATTTTCTTTAAAAAATGAAAAAGACTCATACTGAATGACAGCTGGCTTTGCGCTGACCACTTTCAGGAGCTTCCTCAGGACTGCAGCCACCACACGGTGTCTGGTGTCCGGACGGTGGCAGTCGGCCAGGGCTGCTCAGGGGAAGGCAGGCTCTCCAAATAGGCTTCTGCCTGAGCCCAAGTTAAAAGAGGGCTGCGTGGCTGCGGAATGGCCTCCAGGTGTAAAAAGTCCTATTTGTCCTCTCTTGGTCGCATTTCTGCCAGTCCTTCTCTGCCCTTCTCAGACACATGGGGAAAGTCAGAGGAAGGAGACCAGTCCAGGAGGGCAAAGGGAAAAGTGGGGCAGCAGTTGGAGGATCTCATGTGCAGTGAAAGAAACCAGGCAGGGGGGCTGGGGATTTAGCTCAGTGGCACAGTGCCTGCCTGGCAAGCAGGAGGTCATGAGTTCGATTCCCGGTACCGGAAAAAAACAAAAAAAAAAGAAAAAGAAACCAGGCAGGGAAATTCAAGCGCCACATGATCTCACGCCTATGCAAGCAATCCTAAAAAGGTGATTTCACAGAAGTAGAAAGCAGAATAGTGGTTAGCAGAGGCTCGGGTTGGAGGGCGTAGGGAGAGTTTGGTAGGGAAAGTTAGGAGGAGTTACGCTCTGATGTTCTAGAGCAGGCTGACTGTGGTTAACAGCGGTGTATGCTTCCAAAGAGCTGGAATGAATATGCTAATTAGTCTATTTGATTATTCTACCTTGCATACATATATCAAAACATCATACTGTACTCCAGTATGTACAATTACTATGTGTCAGTTAAAAATAAAATAAAACTTTTATGTTTGATCTTAGCCAAAAGGCCAAGAGGCTATCAAATAAAACTATTTTCCAGGGGCTGGGGGTTTAGCTCAGTGGCACAGTGCTTGCCTGGCAAGCGCAAAGTCATGAGTTTGATTCCCGGTATCAGAAAAAAAAAAAAACCACAAACTATTTTCCAAAGTATCAGAACGGAGAAGATAGAGATTATGTTTGAGCTGAGCCGGTTTTCAGAGGCATAGGAGGCAGAGGCCCACTAGTGATATGTGGAAGAACGGTGGCCACCGTACTTCCAGCAATCCTATGCCGCCACCCCAAGCTCTCATTTTGTGAAACTCTCCCCGAGACCTCTAATGCTGATAGTGCTGACGAAGCAGCTGTTATTGCAAATATTCCTCCATGCTATGTTAAGAACTTCTGGTCAAATCCCAAACGATATTCCTAAGGGAGAATGCTAAAGATTTGGTCATTAACTGTAGACCAATGCCTTCCTCTAAATTTAATGAATAAAAACTATCGTATGTCCCATTTCTTAAAATTGTTTCATAGAATTTAGGATGAGTGAGCTCTTGCTCACACTTTCGGTCTGCATGTTTATAGCTGAACTTGCTAAACAAAAATATCCATTTAGTTCTGGCATAAACACCAGAATAAGCACAGCTTCCGACATTATTCTAATGTAGCTAACACTGAGGTTGTTCTCATTTCCTATAGATTAGGACAGAAGATGAAGACTATCAGTGGAAACCAGAAGATCTACTGTGACAATTAAGGACACCAAGGCCAGGCAGCAGAAGACAAGAGGTGCCAGGCTAGACAATTATGGATGAAACTGATTCTTCAGAAGATATGACCTATAAGCAACAGGAGGATCTGCCTTATGACGACCCTCTCTCCCAAACGCATGTGTGTGGTGATGGCAATTTTACCTCAAAAAAGAACATCCTTGGTGCCTCAGATCAAGTTATTCTCACAGAAGATGGGCCTCAAGAAAAGGTGGCACAGGATGAAACTTGCTCCAATACAGCTGCGGCCATGACTTGGGATAAAATTACTGAAAACGATTTCGTTGTTGACAAAACCTGTGATAAACGGAAACAGTATCCCAGGACTCTTGATATTTCAGCTGAACGAGGAGATGCTTTGAAGTCAAATATTTCTGATATTTTGCTCCATCATCTTTCTAAGGAGCAATTTTTAGGAGATCAAGGGATTGATTGTGAAACTCTCCCCGAGACCTCTAATGCTGATAGTGCTGACGAAGCAGCTGTTATTGCGAATATTCCTCCATGCTATGTTAAGAACTTCGGGTCAAAAGAACAAACCCCAGAATTCACTGACCAACTCAGCCCTAAAAGGGATGGTGAAAACAGCAGTCAGCCCAGTTGCGCTCCAGGTTCTTCTGACTTGGAAGAGTTAGCAGCTGTTGGAAATAGCATCCATCGAGAAAATTCAAATTTTCTAACAAAAATCACAGATTTGGATGATAAACAAAAAGGTTGCGAAGGGCAGGAATCCCAGAAACAGCAGACTGAAAAAGCCAGCTCAAGCAGTGTGTTCACAAATGGCCAAGATCAAGCTCATGACCAGCTCCCAGATTTCTCTCTGGGAAAAACTATTTTTTGGGTTGCTCCCAAAGTGAAAATCCCTAGAAGTAACCTAATGAATAAGTCACTGACAGTAATAGCTAAACAAACCAGCTTTTCTCCTAAATTGAGAAATAAATCAACCATTGTGCAAGACATTTTAGAAAACCTGTCTAGGTCAAATTATGTTGAAAAGCAGCATCCAGAGAACGCAGGGAAAATTACAGAACCTTCACAACACACACAGGTAAACAAAAATAGCCTCCCGTAGGTATCTGGTGGGCCACTGCTCGTCTCTGTCAAGGTGACTTTGGAAGATGCGTAGAGTGCAGTTCTAGTTCTGAGGTTCCATCGGACCCTCTAGAGCAGCGATGGTGAACTTCGTAGAGCTTTCAATGATACCGAACAGCCCACTGCGGCGTGTGTGCTGTAGGTTTGCCACCACTGCCCTAGATCACCTGGGGTGGTGGCTTAGCCTTTCAGAAGCTCAGTGGTGGTTTCCTGAGAAAAATCAGGAGCCACATTCACGAATATACCTAAGAGGATAAGATCCAAATTTCTAAGGCCGGGCATGGTGACTCACACCTGTAATCCCAGCACACAGGAGGCTGAGGCAGGAGGATCTTTGTGAGTTCAAGACCAGCCTGGGCTACAAAATGAGCTCAAGGCCAGCCTGAACTGCATAGCGAGACCCTGTCTCAAAAAGACCCAAAAAAGAAAAAGAAAAAAAGATCCAATTCCTCAAGCTGGAATTTGGGCCTCCTCATGTATTGTTTTAAACTTTATCTACCGTGCTAAACTCAGCTCTGCTCCTAGGAGTCATCCACAGTTATCTGGCTGATCCTGAACCTCTTCCCAGGCTCTGAACCCTCTCACCTCTTCTTATCTGTGTGCAAATCCCATCTCGGTTCATCAAAGACCTGCGCATTCTCACGGCCTCCTTCAAGTCCCCTCACACCACACGACTTCCCATAGCCACCCTTGCTTGTCCGGTACTTCTGTCAGGGCATTTATCTCAGCCTGCCTGTTAGTAATCTGGAAGTACCTGTTTCCCTTACCGGATTTGAAGCCTGGGGTCATCTTTCCCAACATCCCCGGAAAGCCTGGTCTTGGTGTCTTGCGTACATTATCCCTTTAGTTACTAAAATGAGTTGAACTAAGCCCTTTGATAATATATTTCAGACGTTATATTAGTAACCACTGAACGTAAGATTTTATTAATGCTTCTTTTATCCAGGCCTCTCATCTCCACCGAACTTCCTACCACGCTGAGACCCAGGCTTTCACTGATTATTTGAGGTTCCATAGTAAGTTCAGTCACCTTAATCATCAGTGTAACATTCCAGTTCTTTGGCACTTGCCAGGGTTGTACTGTCTTTCTTTTATTTGTTTTTTCCGGTACCAGGAATAGAACTCACAACCTTGGGCTTACCAGGCAGGCGCTGTGCCGCTGAGCTAAATCCCCAGGCCCCTGTACTGTCTTTCTTTTAGACCTTATATGAAGAGCATCCTGGACTGAATAGCACTGCCTGCCTGTTTTGATTTCCATCCCACATTATCCAACCCCCTTATCCTTCAACTGATCACGCTGAGGAATTTCAGCAGGAACACTCCCCCTCACACACACCTGTGGGGCCCATAGGCCACGTGACCACCCCTATGCTGCTTCTCGAAGCCTTGGAGACGTCTACACCCTGTGGCACTGGGAAGTCTCAGGCTTCCTTGTTCTGCTTACAGGAGACCATGTGTGTTGTGCTCTATTCTCAGGACGTCGTGGTTGGTAGGAGCAGAATGGCTGTCGGGCCCGTGCCCCCCTGGCAGTGGGAGTCTGAGGTCAGGAATCTGATATTTTCTAGTCCTTGTCAATTCAGGTTGGAGAACTGGGTCCTGTAGTTTTATACTCAGCCTCTACCAAAGGTATTCATAGTGACCAGTCTGTTTTGACCTCCGCCATTTAGCTCTTAGACATTCACGTGTTTCTGAGATGTGTGCTGGGAACAATGGGAAGAACCTCAGGTGAGTCACTCTGGGGTTGAAACCTCTGCCCAGTTAGCCCGAGGTGAGTAGAAGGCAATCACCATCTGGACACACACTTTGGAATTTAATACATATTGTATCATTCCGAGAATAACGGTGTCAGTGAAAGCACCAGCAACAGAGCTTCTGACAAGATCAACCATGGTCCCTGCCCTCATGGGGCTTCTGGTCTAGTTTTAGGAGAAATGTTTGAGCAGTCCACATCCTAGTATCAGAAATGACCCTAATGGCTGATATATATTGCTGCTTACCATATGCCTAGCATTATGGCAAACATTTAACCTTTAACCCTCATAGCAATCCCGTGAGGTAGATTCTGTACTACCCCCATTTCATCACCGAGAAATCTGAGGCTGACAGTGATGAGGTGGCTGCTTGGGTCACCCAGCAAGTAGGTGTAAGTGGAACTCAGCCTCAGCGTCATGGTCCCGGCTCATGACCGCGGCACTGGGCTGCCTCGGGGATGACCGGAATACATCAAGGCATTCTGAATAATGGTGCCTTTGACTCATCTCAGCAGTAATGTTTTCTTATCCTTTAATTGTGCAGATGGCGTCTACAGGAAACATCCACCAAGAACTTCTTACAGGTACTGGTGTTTTATTTATTTATTTATTTTTGGTACTGGGAATTGAACTCACGACCTTGTGCTTGCTAAGCTCTTGTGCTACTGAGCTATATCCCTTGCCCAGGTGCTGCTGAGCTACATCCCTTGTACTGGTGGTGTTTTAAAGCTTCCTTGATTCAGATACATAGCTTGAAAAAATTTTTTTGTCCTTTTTTGTCTTTTTGAGACAGGGTTTCGCTATGCAGTTCAGGCTGGCCTTGAACTCACTTGGTAGCCAAGGTTGGTCTCGAACTCGCAATGATTCTCCTGCCTCAGCCTCCTGAGTGCTGGGATTACAGCCGTGTACCACCACGCCCAGTTTGAAAACTTTTTAACAACTAGTAGAAGGCAGTCACTGCCATAGTCTTGCATCTTCACTGCTTGATAAAACTGTGGTAAGTTGAAATGAATGGCAGGCAGAGATTACTCTTTCTCGTGTAGGATTAGAATCAGAGACAAATCTCTTGAAGTTGACAGCGGTGTCTCAGAAAGATCTTTCCTCAAGTTCTTCCATATTTCAAAAGATATGCCAAGGGAAACAGATGTATCAGAAATTAAAAGAACAGACAGATCAACTGAAGACTAAGGTAATACATTTATTTTTTTATTAATTTATTTTAAAAATAAAAGAAGGAAAACATATTAGCAAACAGACATCCATTTATAAAATAGCATAAGAACAATACAAGCAATACTGAATTACAGATAAAGTGGTAGGAAATTAACAATTGTTGTTGTATTACATATTGATATCTTCAAAGTGGTTTCTCAGGAAAACAAATAGAGACATGGAAGATGGATCAAATAATTAATCATTAACTGTTCCTTTCAGTAAAGCCATAGAACTCAATAGTACAACTATGTTAGCTATCCTGTAGGTAATACATTTAAAGCTTATTCTAAACATTAGAAATAACTATCGCTAAATTTAAACAGAGACTATGCCATTAATGAAATATTACCTCTTCTCACTGCAGGTACAAGAATTTTCCAAAAGTGTACAACAGGACACTCACTGCCATTTGCAAGACAGAAAGCTGGTAATGAATTTCATCCAGTTTTAAAATCTTTATTAGGGCATTTGACATGGGTAAATACAAACAGCTTCATAGTACCTTATCTTCTCTATAGTGGTGGGTGTGGAAATGTGCTGGTAAGAAATGTTTGGCTGAAGACTAACATATATTATTTTCTGGGACTACAGCAGCTTAGAATTGTGTTTCTATATACACCTGGCCCTCTTTCTTTCTCAGGCGATCTGCTACCTCATCAGTCACCTCATAACAAATCTGGGACCATGACATGTTCTAGAGAAGAACTGTTATAAAGGGTAAACCATAGCTGATGGGTTTCTGTAGATGTAGGTTATAAAAATTGCTGGTTCTTGGTAGCTCAGTAGGTAAGACTTGGAAAACATTTATAATCAGGCTCGAAGCAGAGCTTTTCAGGTTAAAGTTTTTCACTTTTACAAGCTTGCTAGTTGCTGCATTGAATCAGATTGCTCAGTTACTCTGTCACTATAACAGCCTTGTGATCAGTGCTATGGTCATAAGAAGAGGAGGTGGGCAAAAAAAATAAAAATAAAAAATTTTTAAAAAGCCAGGCATGGTGGCGCATGCTTGTAATCCCAGCACTCAGGAGGCTGAGGCAGGAGGATCGTTGTGAGTTTGAGACCAATCTCAGCTACAAAATGAGCTCAAGTTTAACCTGAACTGCACAGTGAGACTCTGTCTCCAAAAAAAGACAAAAAAATAAAAATAAAGAAAAGAAAAGGAGGTGGAGCAATGAGGGGAAAGGCCGAGGATGGGAGAACTACGAATGGGCAGAAGATGCATTCTGGCCACTGGGTCAATAATAAAGCAGGTGGCCAGAAGTCCTGATATGGGCATGTGCAAGGTTCAGGTCAGGCTGCACTGCAGATATCCCAGAGGATGGACAAAACCCAGGTAAACTCAGATGCTAAAGGATACAGTTATTCACTTACACATCATATTAATTGGATCATTCGTTCATTTATTTATTCATTCCACAAATATTCCTGAGGCACTTTCCATATCCCAGACCCTGTCCCAGGAACTAGAGACTTAGAGATGAACAAACAAGCATTTCCTTTTCAAATAGCTTAGGGACAACAGACTGTTAAGCAAATAACAAAAAGGTAGCTTGAGAAATATCATGGATGATGTTCATGGTGTCCTAGAAGGGGCACACCCTTGTTTTTGATGGAACAGTTGGAAATGCTCTCTGAAGGGACTTGTGAGTTGGGCATTGCTGGAGGAAAAGGGATAAACTTGGCAGAATAAGGGGCAAAGTCTTCTGGAGAAAGGAAGCAGCAGGTGCAATGGCACAGGGGCAGGAAAATGCTGCTAGTGTGAGGTGCTGTGTGGCCCTACAATTTACCAGATGGGGCTTGGAGTACCTGTGATGAAGTGCAAAGGCGGGAACTAGAGAGGTGGATGAGAACCACACCATAAAGGGCCTTTAAGTCATACTAAGGAGCTTAGATTTTATCCTGAGTCTGGGGGATGGAAACTCTAAAGGATTTAAAGTAGAGAGACAGCAAGCCTCATGGGATCGTGACCGTAGGGAGACTGTCACAGAGCCATATCCCGCACAGGTTAGGCGGGCGTGAATCAAGCATGACCATGAGGATGGCGAAGGGGAAAGTCTCTGGGTTTAAAATAGTGATGGACTGAAAGGAACAGAGGTACAAAAGGAGGAAGCTGGATGAATTCAAGATTTCTGGCTAGGGTAAGCATGATTCGGAATAAAAGTGGAGGAGCCACTTCTGAGAAGCAGAAAGCAGACAAGATATCAAGGATAGTTTGGGGACATTTTAAGTTTGGGCGTCCCTAGAGGACATTTAAGTGTGGAGGTCTGGCAGGCAGTTACGGCAATGCATCTGGCCCTCAGGGCTACTTAGGCCAGAAATTCTGATTAGGTTTGAAGTTGTTTGGTAGATGAGATTTCCCAGGCGAAACAGGCAAAGGGAGACCTGAGGGTCGAGGACAGGAGCACGGGCAACAGCAACCAGAGGGCAGGGGAAAGATGAGGGACTGCAAAAGATGAGGGACTTCCCCGCAGGGGAAGGACCCAAGAGGTCAGAAGCAGGCTTGAAGGAGCAAAGCTGTTGTTGAAACCAAGAGAAAAGAGGGCTCCAAGGAGGGGCAAGCGGGCCCCACCATCAAATGTTCAAGGAAGGAAGGAAAATAAGACGAGCATTGGATTTGACAACCAAGAGGTCATAAGGCAAGCCTGGTTTCAACAAGGTGGCACATCTGGAAGGCAGATTGCAGGGTCTAAGGAGTAAATAATAAATAAAGGTCTCCCAAAAGCCAGGACTTGGGGAACTGGAAGAACATAGGATTTTAAAGGACGAAGCAAAGGAGAACTGGTGTAAGGTGCTAGTCCTCGGAGGCCTCGATTCAGGAAGTTTCTTCCTGATGTTAGAGTAAACGGAGATTCCTGTTAGGAATGAGGACAGTAAAGGTGGCGCCTGACGGTGTCAGCCTGCAGCCTGAGTGTCCCAGGCCCACTGGGTCACTGCTGGAAAGAGGCCAGACAAGGCTAACACCACCTTCTCAGTTGGAGCAGTACAGCAGAGTGGGAAGCGGACACCCGAGTTCTCCTCATTGGCTACACAGTCTTAGACATGCTGTAGCGTGTCTTCCATCCCCGAGTTATGAGAACTAAATGCAGTGCACTTGTGCCTCGGAAATCAAGCCCTGTCTTCTGCACTATAACATGCTTTAAATTCCAAAATTAGAATCCCTAATTGGCTCTTTTCTTCTTATCCTCTTTCCTCTGAACACCTAATTCCCTCTCATGGCTTTCACGGACACTTTCACACTACCAATTCCTAAATAATCAGTCCCAACTTTTCACCTGTAGTCCCAGGGTCGGGCATCTTCACTCGAATGTCCTGCTCTCACTGTCACTCTCCTTGTCCAGCACAGACATCACTACTCCAGCTTGCTAGCCTCTCCAAAGTCCTGGTTTTAGTCAGGATTTATCGCATTTTCCGCCTCTCCCAAGCTAGAATTTCCAGCATTGCCTGTGAGGTTTACAGTGTGAGGCAGGATCTCGGCAGCAAGGAGATGACTGGCTAACGTGGGGTAATTGAAGAGAGTTTGATAAAGGTGTCCTTTTACAACAACCTGGGCAAAGCTGAGAGAAACCAATAATGGACAGGAATGCATGTCATGGAAGGAACTGCTTCACCTACTGCCTGAAGAAGAAGAGGGAAGGACCCTAAAGAGAATAGCACTCGTGGTAGCTGTAGGAGTAGTTAACTAGCTCTGTGCCCTGTGGTAGGAGGACATAGTCAATCCACGATGACATGGAGAAGATGCTACCAGGGAAATAAAACCCCAGCTCCTCTCTCCTGTGCTGCCTTCTAATGGCTGAAAACAACCGAAGTCAGGGCAGACAGGAGCCTGTTGATGCTGGTGATTTAAGGTCAGCTTTCTGGCTGGGGCATGAGAAACATGGAGGCTAAATATGTGGAGAAAACGGAAAATATCCACCAGACTCCTCCTTCTTATATGTTGTAGCCTGTATGTTTCCAAGCTCCTGTTTACTCACTTACTAATAAGAATTTGCAACACCAGCAGCTACCATCCATTGAGTATGTACAGCTGGTGCTGGACTTAGAACTTAACAATCTGTCAACTTTACCATGAAGCAAAAGCAATATGCGCACGTAGAGACCGTACTTGGAATTTTTACTTCTCCTGGGCCTGTGACATGCTCTGCGGTCCTCTCCTGAGATGCTGGGCCGTGGCAGTGAGTTACAGCTCCCAGTCAGCCGTGCGGTCACAGGGATGACCAACCAACGCTGTACTCCGCAGTGTGTCATCAGCAAATGACACGAGCTATTCAGCACTTTATTATAAAATCAACTTTATGCTTCACCCAAGCATAGGCTAATGGAAGTATTTTGAACATATGTACAGCTAGGTTACATTGTGATGTGTTAAATGTGTTTCTACTTGCAATATATTCAGTTTACCATGGCTTTATAGGATGTAACTCCATGGGAAGCAGAGAAGCATTGGCACTATGCTTCTGGCACAATGATCTTGTTCAATTTCTACAATATGAGATGAGAGATGTTATATTCATTTTACAGATGAAAAACAGAAGCATAAGTTAGTGCAAATTGACTAAAATCATTCAATTAGGAAGTGATAGAACCTGAACTTGAACCCTGTTGTATCTGGCCTTATTTCCCCACTGTGCTATCTTCCTGCCCTTGGTGGTGTCTTTTCAATTCATCTCTTAATCTCCTTTTCATGGATGCTGCCAGGTGTGGACCTTCTGGGCATCCGTCAGCCTGACCTAAGCCTCACTCTTCACATTGTGCCTTGCCGCAGGAGTCTACTCTGTAGTCTCTTTCCTTGATGGATAAAACCCTTTCGTGACAGTGCCTGACACAAGTTTTGTATCTCACACTTCTGGACCAGGGCAGACAAAGGCAGGGCTCAGGCAGTGTTTAGGAACTGCAATGTGGAGCTGAAACCTCTCTGCATCTTCAAGAACATGACGTGTAGCAGCCTGGTTTAGACATTCATTAGCAGAATGAGGCTGCCCGTGCTGTCATCTGGAAGGCATCATTCGTTGCTCGCGCTAAATCTTCCTGCTGCTCCTCCTTGATCTCCCTCTCCAGCTGCATGGACTCAAATTCAGACTCTCTGACTTTGATTCCTTTTTAAGATCTATGCAGCTTCAGCCATACTTTTTGGAGTTCCAGTTTCCTCCTCTACAAAGTCTATGTTGCAACATTTTCAACACCTAGGAGTGCATTAAATAAGGAATGGCAAAGCACTTTGTCAGTGTGCAGGATTATGGACTTCTCAGCATGTGCTGTGAGGGTGTTGTGGATGTTGTGATGACCTTGGGTTGTCTGTATTGTAAATGTCAGACGCAAAAATAACTGATGCTGTGAGGAAGTGGCACCTTCAACCAGACACTACTGCAGTGCATACCTGCGCTTGTGTTTTGGGAAAACAACTCCACACACAGGCTTACTGTGAATGATTCCAGTGACTTCACTGCCACAGGTGCTGGAGCAACTGCAGGGACATCTCGAAGTGCTGGAGCAGGAGTTCGTGGCCACCAAGGAGAAGCAGTTGGCCTTGCAGCAGCAAATCCACAAGCATGAATCCCCAGCTGCTGGTGACTTTGATCCAGAAAGGTCAGGGTTAAGCGAGCTGTGGGAGGTGGAAGGGTCGAAGGTGACCTCTTGCAGGTGGGATTCTGAAGTAGCTGCTGGCTTAGTACTGGGACAGGCACTGGGGTAGGCTCAGCAAAATCTGTGTCATCAGTGCAGAGAGCGCCACCTCAGGCCACAAGTAGCGTGGAATCTAGTGTGTGGAGGTCCTGTGCTGGGAACTGAGCCAGATGTTGGGACAGATGCATTGTGCCCTCATTTTGCATTTTGTCGGAGGCTATTTCAGTTGGTTCTAAGACATTGACGAGCAGTAGAAAGCCCTGGAAAAGCTCATGTGCTAACTGAGGAGCATCTCCCCCCCCAATTCCATTTCACCTCACGCCTGTTTTTATTGTCCCTTTCCGGTCCTTTCCCATCCACTGTCCCTTTCCCATCCACCGGCAACTCTGAAAGGCAGTGAGCAGGAGAGGATCGTTGTAAAACTGGTTTGTGTTGCAGCGAGGGACGCTCAAATCCCCATCAGGGAAACGTGCTAAAGCTTAAAGTTCAGTGATTCCTGAATTCACATTAGAAATTTGGGTGCACAAAGTTTCCAACTGGCCATTTTTGCGAAATCATTCTCTTCTCCTCCCACTCCACATAATTTTAAGATGCATTCCAGAACTCCAGCCTAAGATTGTTTCCATTTAATTTCCTGCTATGAATTATAAGAATCCAGTGAGTAGACTTAATATTTGTAAAGCTCAGCTCTTTCCACTCATAGCATTTTAACACGAATCGTTCTTGACGCCAAAATAGTTTAATGATTTATGTTTCGCGACTGGCGTCCTGAGGTGTTTTGCCTGAGGTACAATTTTACTTTTCCATAATGAATAGAACCTCTGTGTACCTTTATTTCCAAACTGAGTAATTAGACGTCAGGGATGAGGTTTTAATACTGATTTCCCCCAAAAGCTTATCCCCTTACCCCTACCTTGGGAAAAAGAGATCTCCCCCATCTCTGCCTTCTGTATTTTTGTAATCAATAAAATAAGTGCCATTGATTTTCCAAAGAATCTCTTGTGTAGACCATCATTTGGACCTCTGTGCATGTTGAGGCCAAAGTTATGCAACACTTTATTTATATCCTGGTTACAACCGCACTGCTTGGCATGAGTATAAATCAAAAGGGTTTGAACTGCAATTATATCCCATATAAGGGAAAAGCTTTCCACACTAGGGAAAGGGAGGGACCCAGCCTCTCCCCAAACTCACTTAAAGCCACCTCAGGACAAGCAAAGGCGCATCAGTTCAAGGCGGGTCCCATTTCCACAGGGGCCAACGTGGCAACAGGCAGAATCCCACACATTCCCCGGGCCCTGAAGTGCCAAGGGTCTTCTGAATGTTTAGTTCACAGGCTGATGTGGATCGCTTCCTGTAGGAGCAAGAATTCTACAAATTCATTGAATAATCACTTGTTTCCGCCAGTTGCTGTGTTCTTATGAAAACTTTCTTATTACTATGTTTGAAAGGTAATATGGGAGTGTAGCTCAGTGGCAGAGTCCTTGTCTAGCCTGCCTGAGGCCCTGGCTCAATCTCCAGCAACACACACACACACACACACACACACACACACACACACACACACTGTGCAAAAATATTTGTGTATTATGCATCTTGCTCACCAGAATGTAGTCTAACAATTGTCATTTTAGTCTCTTCTCTGATATTTTTAGTGGACCGTCTTGTTTTCTGGTACATGGAAACGATCAAGAATGCCTTCAAAGCTGTCTTCTCCACCTCCAAATCTCCATGTTTTCACCGTTTTCTTCCTTCACCTCCCTCCACCCTCACCAGCCATGTCCTTGAGCCCCTCTCCTTAGCTGCCTGCAGGTCTTGTCCCTTCATTTTACTTCTTAGATTATTAGTGTCTCCTTATTCCTTGCTTCACTCTCATCAGCCTGCCAGATGAAAATATGTTTTCCAATGTTTCCTTCAACTGTAATTTTGGTTTCCCTTTGTTCTGGCACTTAATTGATGAAGGCAGCCTCTCTCCACTGGATGAAAAAGAACTTTCATCAGATACAAAACCTCCGTGTGTAGGTGGGACTGGGTCTATTCTCTCACTGACCTGTTTCTCTTTGTACATTAACCACATATTTTGAAATTATTCCAGTTTCTATTTTGAAATGTTATTCTTTTAAAATTTTCTTTTACTACCTCTGCAATACTCTCTTCACTAATAAATTTTATAGTCATCCCACCAAGTTTCCGTAATAAAATCCCATGAATATTTTTATTTAGAATTATATTGAGTTTGTAGATTAGGTTGGGAAGAGTTAAGATCTTTGCAAAAACTGTTCCCATCCAGCAGCATATTTTCTTCATATAGATTTTGTATATTTGTTGTTTATTCCTAATTCTTTTATAGTTTTTCTGAGTGTTGTTAATAGATGTTTTCTCTAATTGATATCGATGATTTCTCTAGGAAATGTAGAAAGTGTATTTGATCTCTATGGGCTACTTTAGGCAATTTTATTCTTAGTGTTTTGTTAATTTTCACTTCACTGTCTTAGTTTTTAGAAATGACCATAATAGCATCTGAAAATAATGATGGGGATTTTTCTCCTTGAATATTTATACTTTCTTTTCTTCCCTTAATTCTTATATCTTTCTTATTGTTTTAGTTCATTTGCTAGGTTTGTCAGAATAATACTGCGTAAATAATACTAGTGAAAGAGGGAATTCTTCTTATGTTCCTGACAGTAATAGGAATTTTCTGAGGCAAAATGATCACAGTAGGTTCAAATAGATCAACTTCAGTGAGAACATTTCCTTTCATGTCTAGCTTTCTAGAATTGGGGTGATTGCTACTATTTAATTTAGGAAAATGTTAAATCAAATGAGATTTAATAATATATTTAGTTTTTGTACTATAACCTATTAATGTAGTATAATATATCAGTAAATATCCTAATGGTGAAGTATAGAGTGGGTCAGGAAACTTTTTCTTTTTTTCATGTCCAGAAGTGATGAATAACATGGGCTTTGTCGGTTCCTTAACTTAAAGTCTTAGTAGAATTCACGCATAATCCCACCTGGACTTGGTGCTGTTTTAAGGGTTGATTTTCGATGATCTTTTCCACTTTTCCCTGGTCTTTCTCTTCTGGTATTTTCTTACTTCCTAACTCTTTCTGAACAAATTTAATAATTTGTATTTTCCTAGAAACTTGCCCATTTTGCCTCTATTATAAACTGTACTATATGAAGTTGTTCAGTCCTTTCTGATTTAAATTTCTTTTCTTGTTATTTTTCCTCTCACTCTTAATGTGATTATTTGTTAGAATTTTTTATAGATTTTTTTTGAAGAAATGTTTCATTTTATTGATCAAATTCTTTTAAATTTCATTTATTCTGCTTACTTTTATAAATATCCCTATTTTCCTAGATTTATTTTATACAGCACTCTTTTTCCTACCTTCTTGTTATGAATATTTATTGATTTTTGAACTTTTTTGTTTTTTGAACATTTTTTCTTAATGGTGCCTTTTTTTTTTTTTTTTTTTTTTTTTTTTTTGAGACAGTGTTTCACTATGTAGTTCAGGCTGGCCTTGAACTCACTTTGTATCCCAGGCTGGCCTCAAACTTGCAGTGATCTTTCTGCCTCAGCCTCCTGAGTTCTGGGATTATAGGCTTGCACAACCATGCCTTGAGTTAGTGCCTTTAAAAAAAATATTATTTTAAAGAAAAAGAAACAAAAAAACCCCCCCAGAACAACATTCCAAACCAGTATGATAGGAGGGTAACAATGGTCAATACATTGTGTATTATCTTTAAATTAGGTACTCAGAGTATGAGATATCAGCATTTAACTGTCCAAACAATATTAGCACAAGTCTATCTTTTTCATGAGCTGAGAGAAATGAGTGGTATAACTATCTTAATTATCTCTTATATATACATATATAATATATATATTTTTTCCTTTTCCTTTTCCCTTCCTTCTTTTTTCCCATTTCCCTAAATGAGTTTCTCTTTCCTTTTGAAGTTTCTTCCCTTACTGCCTTTTTAAGAAAGACTATAGGAACCGATGCTCAGGGGTAGAAGAGCACATGCTTGTCATGCACAAGGCCATGGAGTCGATCTACATCCAGCACCAAAAAATAAACAAAACCTCAGTTAAGCTGGAAGCAGCGGCACAAGCTTGTAGTCCCAGCTACTAGGAAACTGAGGCATTAGCTCACTTGAGCTCAGGAATTCAGGGCAGTTTTGTCAACATAATAAAATCCTGTCTCTTTTTCAAAAGAGAAAGAGAGGGGGAGGGAGGGAGAGAGAGAGAAATAAATTTTCCCAAGTACTGGTTTAACTGCCTTATATTGGTTTTCATATATTGTTTCCTACTTACTATCCAGTTCTTCTGGTTTGTGTCTAAATGTTCCCCCAAAGCCTCATGCAGTCATGGGAGCAGATTCTAGAGCTTCTGATTGATTTATGGTCCAATGCTGGGATTATGGGTGCAAGTACTACACCTGCCCTGGGGTGGGGAGCCTGCATACAATGTAAGGGAGGGAAAGAGCCTTGCTTTTTCCGGCTTCTCCCTTTTTGCTCTTGTTGCTTTTGCTGTTTTCCCCCTGCTATGAACTGTTGCCCTCTGCCATGGGCCACTCTGCCTTGGAGCCAGCTGAGTAAGGACTGAAGCCTCCACAGACTGTGAGCTAAATAAACCTTTCCTTCCTTAATTCTGGGTGTCAGGTATTTTGTCTCAGCAATCAGAGAAAAGTAACCAAGGCATCAGTCATAAATTATCTCTAATTTCCATTTTATTTCCTATTTAACTGAAAGGTATTTCAGTTAGAGGAGTGTTGGGTAAAATATGTTCGTACACACATGCACCTATATACATAATTAGCTTGTTAATTATTCATATATTTTTAAGTTCACCCTCTTTCAAAATAATAACAATTATTTCCACGGAATCACAGCTTTTAGAACTGTAAAAGACTGCAACATCATCGGATACAGATAAGCAAGGTATTGTTATCCTAGGTTATAGTCAAAGGCCCAGAAAGACGAGTGATTCACCAAAGGATACACAGCTGCTGGACAGCAAATAGCCGCTATAGCTCAGGACTTAGGAGTGAAACTATAAACAGAATGCCAGCCAGATGTCTATCATGCATCCTGTCTGAAGCCAAGCTACATTAATAACATGGATCACTACTATACTCAAGAACTGCTGCCACTCGTTAGCATGCGGATTGTATAGCCTGGAAGACGCCTTTTTGTTTATGTTTACTCAGAGAAGTGGAAGGTGAAATCTTCAAGCTGGAGATGCTACTCGAAGATGTGAAGGAGAAGATCGAGGAAAGCAAATATACTTCAATTCTCTCTCTGCCCGTGAATTCTCCAGCCATCCCAGATGACGTGGCATCCACATTCTCTTCATCCTCAGATGAGGTAATACAGAAACCTAAAGCCTAATTTTGTGCCAGGAAAAGCAGTGTTTGTGCATGTATAGACTGCTAATGCTTAGATTTGCTAAATTCTTTTTTTTTTTTTTTTTTGCTATGTAGTTCAGGCTGGCCTTGAACTCACTATGTAGCCCAGGCTGACTTCAAACTCACAGTAATCCTCCTGCCTCAGCCTCCCAAGTGCTGGAATTATAGGCGTACACCACCACAGCCAGCTATGAATTCTATTTTACTATTTCATGAAAACAAAACTTTCCAAAGTTCCATGAATCATATTATTTAAAATGGAATCAATTTTTAACAACTGGAAGCTATATCAAATGCTAGATTTTGAAACATCTCATTAGTTTAGGATGTAGCAATGCAGTTTAAACTGATAAACTACCTAAGAGCTATTTCTTCTGGATGACCAGCAAAACTTCTACAGACCGTGACTGGAAAAAAATTTTGTACTCCATCTTCTAAGTAAAGAATAGCACACTAAGTGAAGTAGTTATTTCCTCTGAATCCACTTTCACATTTTCCTTCTCTCAAGTGAAATTCTTTTGGATTATCTTTATACACAGGGTTGGAAATTCAAATCAATCACGTTTTGTTTTTATAGCCTGAACTATCAGAACATTTCAGACTAAATTAAAATTCAATTTGGAAACATTTAATCATCTAAATAATTACCTAATCTTTCTCCTTGGGCTCCAAGTCTCACTTCAGATCCTTCCTGGGTCCAGAGGACCCACCTCCCTCCTCCTTCTCTCCCTTACATTGCTACATTCCAGCATCTGGACACCAAATCTTGCAGAGGCTCTTTCTCTGCTGCTCACCACTCCGCCATCTTCCCGGAAGTCTTACATAACCACCTTACATTGACTATGCAGTTTCATTCAATATTTGAAGACATAACCTGAGCCTGATATTCAAAACTTGAATGAGGTTTCTGTTCAAACAAGGAGAGATGATTACATAAATGTTAGCTCTTCCAGAGAACTGTGTTTAACTCCTCCAAACATTTTGTTGCCTGGCAAAATCTCACTCATCCAAGGACCAGGTTCAGAGGCAGGGTGTTTCTGTACCCTTGGTAGCCAGCTCCCACCTCAGGCAGAATTCTTTATCCTGCCTTTGTGTTCCCACAGCACTGGGTCTCAGTATCTTTGTGCCCTGGTTCTCGTCTTTGTACCTTGAACATCTGACTGAATGCCTCTGACAGTGAAGTCTCTGTAAAGGGACCCCAGAGCCACTGAAGACCTAACAGATCTCAGTGCTTCTCAAGCAAGCTCCAAGGTTCACAGCACACCCTCTTGGCAGGCCTGAAACTGCGCTAGTTTAAGGTGGTGTGAGGTAATCTGGTGAGTCAACGTGGTCATCTACCCAGCAGCTCCCTCAGGTCTAAATTTGCAGTTCTCTGGTTGGTCCTAGTTGATAGCAACTTCTGCGAAATAAGAATTCTATAACTTTGTGATGAGTAGCCCTGAAGAGAGAGCTTACTGCTGGTCTAATTTATTCAGCGCAATTTGATGCTATATGCTAGGCACTTTCCTAGGTACCAAGGTTACAACGTGAACGAGGAAGGCAAATGATGCTTACCCTTCTGTGAGGGAGACGTACACTTAAATAGAATTGTGTATGAATGTCTAACGCCAGCAAAGTGGTGCAGGAGTAATATGTTCCACGTGACTCTGAGGCCAGGTTGCCTGTGTTCAAATTCTGGCTCTGTCACTTAACAGTTTTGTGATCTTGGGAGAGGCAAGCAATCTCTTTGCCTCTCTGTTTCCTGCTTTGGATAATGGGGATAGTAATGCCTACCTCCTGGGGCTGTCCTGACACTGAAATGAGTATAGCAAAGTGCTTACAGCAGGGCCAGGCTCACAGTAAGCACACTGCCTGGGTGTTAGCTGTCGTGGCTATTAAGTAATGGGACCTGAGCGAGGAGGGCAGTGTTACTAAGGGAGAGGTGGTTGGAGGTGACATTTGATCGGAGTCCTGGGTTAAGGAGGTAGCTGGGTGAGGAAAGAAGACTGTGGGAAGGATGATACGGTGCCTTGGGGTCACACAGGGATCTTGACCTGATTTTGAGTCACGTCCCACGGCACAGCAACCCTGACTGCAGTCCTTCTGTGTGAGTTGGCCCCAGACAACGAAGGGCAGCCTGGCCAGCCTCCTGGGCCTGGAGCTCGTGCGGGGCTGTGGCGACGGGTGCCCTGGGCAGGGCTGCCCCCGACCTCAAGGACCCCGGGATGCCCACCTGAGAGGCTGACTCAGACCTGCTGGACCAAGCCCAGAGGAGCCCTGGGGCAGGGCCAGAGGAGCCGTAGAGGATCGGTCCCCCTTAGGTCCCCAGAGGACCACAGGAAATTCCCAAGAACTTCATCAGGTAATGAGAAGCCAAATAATGTCTCAAAGTGGGCCTCCCTGGTGGCTCAAGAACGGACTATAAAATGCAAACGTGCCTTTTATTTATTCATTTACTTTTCAACTACTTACCTAAAGGTAGGGGTATGGCTGCCCAGGGCCAGCCAGGCCAGATGGACATCAGGCTGTCTTCTGATTCCGGGGCGATATCCTGTGACCTGGTTCTGGGTTCATTTTGTTAATTACTTGAATGTGATTCTGAAACTGGCATCCTTGAGCATACCCGGCTCTTGTGTTTGAACCTAGGGCATTTCCTTGCTGAGCTCCAGCTCTGCCATTACTCTACCCCTCATGCCAGGCTGTTGGACTCAGTGCACCAGCATTGGTGCTGGTGACCCTTCCTACTTTTTCAGTTCTCAGGAGAAATCTGGCTGGGGCTCCTGGACCTAGACCAGCTCCTCTCACTTCGTTGGGCCTAGGAGCAGCCTGCAATCTTTTTAAAATGCAGGTCCTGTCTCCATGGGTCTGGGTTGAGCCTGCAGCCCTGCGTTTCTCTCTAACCAGCTCCTAGGTGCCGGCCAAGCTGTAGGCCCTGAAGTGGAGACCACCCTTTTGAGTAGCAAGGATTCCAGGGCTTATTCTATTATTATTCATTTTGTTATAAATGAATTGGAAGTACTGGGATTAAAACCTCTGGATCTGAAATGACAACAATATTATAAAGATGTTTGCAATTTGCAAAGATATTTTTGTAAAGGAAAAATAGCTTAGAAAGGTGAGACCTGCCGGGTGTAGTGGTGTACCCCTGTCATCGGGAGGCTGAGGCAGGAGGATTGTTGCAAGTTTAAGACCAGCCTGGGCTACAAAGTGAACTCAAGGCCATCCTGAACTGCATAGCGAGACCCTGTCTCAAAAAGACCAAGAAAAAGGGAAGGTGAGACTTGCAAGGGCAGACGACAAGCAATATTAAAGGCCTGTTCTCTGTGGAAGATATCTCTGCTATTCTGCTAATGCAAATCTGTTTTAAGTGTCAAGGGTAAGAAATGCTATAAATTTAGCAGCAATAAAAGGAGGCACAGGTAGAAATAGAGGGAAAGAACTCTTCTATTTTTAATATTATAACTGTGGGGGTTTTCTTTTTCTTTTTTTTTGGTACCAGGAAGTGAACTCAGGACCTTGCACTTGCCAGGCAGGTGCTTGTGCTGCTGAGCTATATCCCCAGCCCTAAAACTGTGATACTGCCACAGAAATCAGATAATAGAAGCCAGGTGTGGTGGCGCACACCTGTAACCCCAGCACTCAGTAGGCTGAGACGGGAGGATTGTTGCAGGTTGGAGACCAGCCTGGGCTACAAAGTGAGCTCAAGGCCAGCCTGAACTGCATAGCGAGACCCTGTCTCAAAAAGACAAAAAAAAAAAAAAAAATCAGACAATAGAGAAAAGTAGAAAGAAAATTTCCCTGAGAAAAATTATTGCTAATTTTTTAGTGTATACCTTTATGTCATTCTCTTCTTGCATACATATTTTTATAAAATTGGGATAATGCCATAGTTTTATTTTGTGGTTTACATTTTGCATTTAACATTGTGGCCTTATCTCCAGATCACTTAGAATAAAACTTCAGCTTCATTTTAATGAGCAGTTGAAATAATGTGTATACCTCCACTCTACCTACTGTATGTCAGCTGTGTATTTCTTTTTCTTTCTTTCTTCTTTTTTTCTTTTTTCTTTCTTCTTTCTTTCTTTCTTTCTTTCTTTCTTTCTTTCTTTCTTTCTTTCTTTCTTTCTCTCTTTTGTCTTTTTGAGACAGGGTCTTGCTATGCAGTTCAGGCTGGCCTTGAGCTCACTTTGTAGCCCAGGCTGGTCTCCAACCTGCAACAATCCTCCCGTCTCAGCCTACTGAGTGCTGGGGTTACAGGTGTGTGCCACCACGCCCAGTGGTGTATTTCATTATACAGACATACTCTGATGCATTTAAACAATCTTTTATTGATGGACTTTAGTTTTTTTTCCAGGTCTTTGATATTATAAATATGGTTCCAGGTAACAGCATGTACCTGCAGACTTCTATGTATAGTTGATTATTTCCTTAGAATAAAATTTAGAGTTGTAGTAAATGGCTCAAAGGGTATGTAGTGAACATTCTGATAAACTGGCTGTTAGAAGTTTATGGGTCCCACCAGGAACATGGGAATGTCAGTGTCTCCAACTAAAGTCCACCCCAGATACTTTTTTTTTCTCTCCACTTCTGCTAAAGTGACAACTGAAAACTACTATCTTATTGTTTCTATGTTTGACTATAAAATTCAATCTATTGTCATTTTTTTTTTTGACCATTTGCACCTCCAACATTTAACTTATGTTTGCAAAGCTGAAGTTAGTGTTTTTTAAAGGCAGACAACTGAGAAAATATGAAGAGAAAATCAGGTCGGGTGTTGAAATCTTTATTTTATCAAGTGCTCTAAATGCACAAAGGAGCAGAACTAGGGTCAAGAACACAAGCGCAGGACCCACACGGTAAAGGTGCAAGCCTACCTCAGCTACGCACTCTCCATGTGACCTTGACAATATGCCTAAATTCCCTGAATCTCTGATTACTAACATGCCAGGGTAGTAGGAAGTGATAAAAAAGACTGTGTAAAGGCACCTATTAGCATCTAAGGAACAATCAATAAATACAGTAGTTGTATCTATCAAAAAAATTACCAAAACCCTTCAAAAAACTAACGGGCAAGCAGGGCGTGGTGGCACACGCCTATAATCCCAGCACTGGGGAGGCTGAGGCAGGAGGATTGTTGCAAGTTCAAGACCAGCCTGGGCTACAAAGTGAGTTCAAGGGCAGCCTGAACTGCATAGCCAGACCCTGTCTCCAAAAGACATAACAAAAAACAAGAACAAAAAAACCCCAAGAAAACCTAATGGGCAAAGGCTAGGAAATAAAAAGTCACACACAGAAAATACAACTAATAAATAGCACAAGGGGAGCCTTTACTTCTTTAATAGCACAATCTCATAACTTTAATTAACGCAACCACTCTTTAAATTAAACAAAAACATTTCTAAGTGACAAACCCTGGTACTGTGAAAGGTGCCCCAGAATGGAGCCATTCACATTGTTGGTGGCTGTGTAGTGTGTAAAACTCGGGGAAAGCAATTTGGCAAAAACGTGTCCTCATGCAAACATGTTCGTGACCTCTGGCCCAGATGTTTCCTTGGGAAGTAATTAAAATGTGGAAAAAGTTCTGCGTTCAAAGATACTTATGCCAGCATTGTTTAGAGTGGCAGAAAAAGTACATTTACTTTCTATTTACCGGACACATAAGATCACAGAAATATCTGGGGGTTGGTGTCAGCCTTTTTGGTGAAGTGGTAGAATTATTTTGTGTTAAAAAGGGACACAGCTGTTTAGGACACAGGCGTTCCCTAAACCTTGCTTTATTTCATTGTTGAATACATTTCTTTGGAAAAGCTTTTAGAGCTACTAACCAGTGCTGTGATTGACTTTAAAGTTTTCTTGCCGGCTGGGGGTGTTGCTCAGGGGTAGGGCACTTGCCTAGCAAGCACGAGGGCCTGGGTTCCACGCCTAGCGCTGCCGAACAAAACAAAAACAAAAATCTTCCGCAGTCTGTTCATCTTCTGGTGGAGGGTGGAATAATTTGAAACTAAGGGAAAGAAAAAGGAAAGGGATTTTCTCATCTGCAACCAGATTTTAAAATCTGGAGGCGCAAACAAGCTCAGCCAGGACTGAAGCTGCTGGTCTTGAAGCCCAAGCCGGGAGCAGCGCAGGCCACGCTGAGACGTCAGCGCGGGGCATGGGCTCTTTGCCCTCCTCCAGCCCTCTGGCCCGCTTCCGTCGCCCCTTCTCTAAGAGACACTTCGCAAAAGCCTCCTGTCCGGCCGGTCTGCGCTGCACGCTGGGCTCTGCGCGTGCACCCTCAGGGATGAGTCGCATCCTCCATCGCAACCACCTCTTGTGTGCTTTGTGGCGCAGGAGGACCCCAGCGGCGCGTCGGGAAGGCGGGCGCGTGCGGAGACTGTGGCGCCGAGTCCATGCTGTGCCTTCTGCCGCCGACTCCTGGAATGGTGAGGGCTTCGGCTGCTGCATTCCCAGAATGGGTGGGGAGGTGGTCTTGGATGGAAACGCGGGCCAGCGATGGAGCGCACATCTCAGGCCTGGGCACAGCGCCCAGCACCCCTCCCGACTTTACCAATGTCCTAACAGTTGTTCTTTAGCAGTGGTTTATTTATGAGCGAGAAAATCAAAGTCCCTGAGGGATTTTAAAGTAAGGCCCAAGCCTCTGCTCAGGTACATGTAAGCCTCTCCAGGAGCACAGTTCTGGTTGGAACCATGGTTTAACTCTTTCCGGGTAATTCTGGTAAGCGCTGGTGGTGAGGACTCACAGCACAGGCCGGCGGTCCTTGGGCTCTTGTTTGAGCACTGCCTAGATGGGGATTTTTATTCTCCCTAGTAGACCAGCTCCCTCGCTCGCTGCTCCCTCCTTGAGGTCAGCAAAAGCCTTCCCTGTTGGGTCCCACCTGCCCCAGGCCCCACTGCCAGGAAGAAGCCTCCCTTCCGCTTAGGGGTGACTGCTTTCTCTTCCCAAGCAAGAAATCTCCCAGAGCTGCCGTGTGAAATCCCAAGGAGGAACCCCGAGCATTTTGGGAACACGTGTTGGACCAACTGTTAGCCCGCATGACTTCACAATCACTTGTGGCTTCTACCAGCCCTCAGAGGTGCCAGCTCTCCACTCTCAGCAGACTAAGCAAAGCTTGGCTAATTCACCTTCCAGAGGCCAAGAGTCTCGCAGGGAGGAGCTGCTTAGCAACCACTCTACAAGTGCATAATGACTGTAATAGAAGCAGAAGACCCTGTCTGAAAGACGGCATTTCCTGTTAGAAAGCGTTCCACCGCCAGGACAGGCGCTGGTCATAAGTGTTTTATTGAGTTTCTGTCTCTAAAAAAAGAAACTCACAGAGTCTGTGCTAAAAATGACTCTGGGTCATCTGGTGTGGCCCGTTGTGACAAACGCCGTGTCAGTCCTGCTCGCGGGGCTCCCCTGTAGAAGGAGTGCTCAGTGAGCTTGCTCAGCCAGCCGGCCCAGGCCTTCTGCTTTTATTTATTGAGTTAAAGCCTGCACCTGGCTTCTTAAAGGAGGTTTTAAAGTACAATAAAAGGGGCTGGGGATTTAGCTCAGCGGCAAAAGCGCCTGCCTGGCAAGCGCAAGGTCGTGAGTTCGGTTCCCGGTACCGGAGAAAAACCAAAAAAAAAAAAAAGTACAATAAAAATATGTTGAGGCTGTCTGTGGCGGCACATACCTGTAATTCTAGTTACTCAGAAGGCTGAGGCAGGAGGATAGAAAGTTTGAGCCTAGCCCAGGTATTTGATGAGATCTTGTCTCAAAATTGACATTTAAAATTTAAACATTTAAGGTACCGAAGGTATGTCTTACAAATTCCTAGTGTAGATCCTACAGGACCGCTTAAATACCAGCATAGGTACCAGTGTTCCACACTAAATGTATTCTCTCTCTGTGTCAAAGTCTTGCTGTGTAGTTCAGACTGACCTTGAACTCACTATGTAGCCTAGACTGACCTCAAACTTGCAGGGATCCTCCTGGCTCAGCCTCCCCAGTATTGGGATTACCGGTGTGTTCCAGGCCCAGCTAACTGTACTCTTTTCTTAATGGACAAGGCAGAAAGAAAGAACAGTCAAGCATAGTCAGTGGATTTCCTGCTGGAACGGTGAGGAGATAGACATAACTTACAAATCGAAATCTGGGTAAAGCACGTACTTCCTGAGGACTTGTTCTATGTGTATCCTCTTTACCCTGTCAGAAGATCAGATCTCTCTCTGATGGGGGATGTATTCTTTTATCCACTTTGCTGATGTACAATCTGTGAACTGCATAAAAATAAGTAATACATGTTTATCTAAATGTAAATACGGTAAGTGTAACATTTGGATCCCTTGATGTTATTTTTGATGCCAAACGCTGCATTTAAGGGTATATTTTAGTTACTTTGTCTTGTTGAGAAACAGCCTTCTCCAGCAGAACTGCCCTTGCCTGTTATGTTTGGACAGAGGAGTCTGAGTTTAGAACACAAAGGAGTTTAAACGAGCGAGCGGAACAATTCGTGTACTGGGCTGCACTCGCTTGAGCGAGATCCAAGCTTTCTGCTTTGGAGAACAGATGTTCCAGCGCTGCAGAGGCGGAGGGTGGAGACAGAAAGCAAAGCGTGAGGAAATGTGTGACTCACAGGAGAGCATATTTTTCCAAGAGGAAAGGGCCTGGCTCCCAGCTCAACCCCACGAACCCCGAGCTGGGTCCCCTCCACACAGCCTCGGCATCACTGCTGCCACAGGTCCGGGCACCGCTGGGCATGTGTGTGTGTGTTGAGTATCGCCTCCAGTTCACACCCAGCCGTGGGGAGTCAGTCTCCTTTGTGCCAGGATCCTTTGTCTGGCGCTCCGCAGGCTCAGAACACGCAACTGTCCCTGGGGGCTGTTCTCTATCTCAGGGCTTTGTTAAGAACTGTTATTAATTACAATTCCTTCAGAGAAATTAGAATCTCTGTGAAGAAGGAAAGCGGGAACTACACACAGGTCAGGGAAGTTTCTTGATAAATGCCACTGTATTTGTTTCTTTCTGATGCCCCCTGGTGACCCTATACTGCACAACTAAAGTTATTCCACGCACTCAGCCATAGCTCTGCAGATACCCATAAAACCCACTTTTCGGACTTCTTGGATACATTCAGCTATACCCAGAGAGCTGAAGCCAGGTGATCCAGTACTGATGTATAGCATAGCTTCTTCTCCAGATAAGAAATGATTTTTAGACATAGATATGAGGAAAACATCACTTTTTACAGTTCTATATTACAATTTTCTATTTTATGTATGTATACATGATTAAATATTATCCTCTATGGAGCAAAATATTTATTTTTCATGTTTTTTTTTTTAATCTTTTTGAGACAGGGTCTTACTATGCAGTTCAGGCTGGCCTTGAGCTTTGTAGCCCAGGCTGGTCTCGAACTTACAAAGATCCTCCTGCCTCAGCCTCCTGAGGGTGCTGGGATTACAGGCATGCGCCACCACACCCGGCTTATTTTTAATGTTTTATAAACATATTCTTATCAGGCCAAATTATGCTGGATGCAGTTTCGTACAGGGAAGCTTTCCAAAAGGGCTGGGGGAGTCTTTGTTGAGGACGACAGGCCACACCTCCATTGTCCCAGGCCCTGATCTAAGAAATTCAATGTTTCTGTTTGCCACTGCTTTCCCTGTCTCTATTAGAGACGTACCTTAATTCCGTGAGCTCTTACGCACCTTTCTCTAGGAAGCACAAGATGGAGAGGAGAGGTCTCAGAAGGATCAACTGCGGCAGGTTTTCCATTGTCATTCACGAGCAGGCGCTGTGCCAAGACTCGCCTCTTGGTAGGTTGAGGGGCTGGGGTTCCGGCGCTCAGTCCTCAGGGCCCCTCTCCGAGGGCTCTGCTCACGGTGGGCTCCAGCTTGCCACCCGCTCCTCCAGTATCACTGCCTTGGATCAGGGTCTTCTATATTTTGGGTTTTTTTTCCAAATGTATGGAGTTAATAGTTGAATAGATTTAAATAAGATGTGGTTAAGTAGGATAAGTGCCAGTGCCTGGAATCACAGGACTCCCCGGAGCCGGGCAGGGGGCGTCCTCAGTCTCCCGTCATCCCCTTCGCAGCATGGCCCGTAACACTGCGCAGGCCGCGTGGGCATTGCTGCCGCCTTGTCCATCAATGTTGCAAGAAGCAAAGATCTGGAGGGAGCACAGGGGGCGCGAGAGCGTGGAACGCAATGATTTTAGTCCTAGGATCCTTCCTCCAAAGGCACTTTGAGCACAGCAACAGTCCCCGGCAGGGCTGCCTGGGTGAGAGGAGGGGGAGGGGGCCGCTGCTCAGGCAGCTCCTGAGATTGGAAGTCCTGGCAGGGACTGGATGGCTTTCTGAGCCCAACCCTTGAGGAAACGGAGGCCAGACAGCTCGCACAGCCGGTTACGTTCCTCTCCCTGTCTCTCAGAGCCTCGCCTTCGCCTCGCTGTGCTGTTAGCTCACACTTGGCTCTAAGCTTACCTCTCTGTAGATAGCACATTTTCAAATAATAACAACCGGCTTCAAGGGTTGAACACTTATTCTACCAGATGCTATATCAGAGAAGGGTCAAAGTGTGGCCAGAGGGCCTTGAGGTTCCCTTAGGACCGTTCAGAGGAGATACCGGGTCTTGCCCTTTGCCAGCAAGGCCAATATTGCAATGGACTGATGGAGATCCACTCACACAATCCAGCTGCCTGCTACTCAGCCAGGTAAAGGCACTTATCTAAACTTTAATGATATTCTTCTCATTTTTTTATTCCAGAAAATATAGTTATTTTCATTCAAGCATTGTTTTGTTAACATGAAATAAATTTATAATTTTCATTTATTCATTTTTTAATAGAGAGGGTCTCACTGTGTTGTCCAGGCTATCCTTAAATGTTTGGACTCAAGTAATCCTCCTGGCCCAGCCTTCCAAGCACCTGGGAGTATAGGCATGCATCAGCACACCTGCATCTTAGTCTTTTATTTATTTTTTTTTTTGAGACAAGGTCTCACTATGCAGTTCAGGCTGGCCTTGAGCGCACTTTGTGGCCCAGGCTGGTCTCAGACTTGCAAAGATCCTCCTGCCTCAGCCTCCCGAGTGCTGGGGTTACAGGCATGTACCACCACGCTCGGCCACACCTGTCATCTTATTGTTATTGTTTTGGCACTAAGTTATATCCCCTAGCCCTTATTATATTTAAAAGACATAGTAAAATGTTTCTTAAATGTCTCAGGTTAAAACTCTAAATAAAATCCTCAAAATTGTCCATTCAACCTTGGGAAGATCTAAATGTAAAAATGATTTGCCACTGGTATATCAAAATGTCTCTCTCAGTCCACCTGCAGCTGACTGACTGTTGTATGAGAGCTCTTCTCCATTTTGTGGCTAGATTTCTACCTCAGGTCTCTGAAATGGTGTATGTTATGATATTTGGTAGATAAATCACACAAACAAACACGTTAGGGCCCTCAGTTTGAAGAGTGTAGAAGTTGAGAACTGTTGACACAGTAGTATATCATTTACTACACCACCCTGCTAAGACAGGAAGTATTCTCTTTATTTCACAGATAAGGAAATGCAGGCACAGAGAAGTTGAGTAATGTGCCGGGGTCAAAGAGCTGGTGATTGCTTATCCATTGCTGAGTAACAGAGTATCTCAGAACTTAATGGCTCAAAATCAGGAACATGCCTCCTTATCTCACAGTGCCTGTAGACCAGGAATTTGGGAGCGGCTCAGCTGCAAGGGTCAGGCTCAGAGTCCCTGGTGCGGTTGCTGTCAAGATGCCTGTAGAGGCTGCAGTCATCCGATGGCTTTGCTGGGGGCGGGAGGCTCTGCTTCCAGCGCGGGGCACACACTAGGCCTCTGCTGGGAGGAGTTGGATCCTTGCCGCGTGAGCCCCTCTAACCGTCTGCTTGTGTGTCATTATGACAGGGCAGCCAGGAAGCACCTGATCCGAGGGAAGCACCAAGCTGGAAGACTCAATGTCTTTTATAGCCCAGTTTTGGATGTTTCATGCCATCATTAATACTTGTTAGAAGTGAGTCACTAAATCCAGCCCAGGTTTACAGTGGGAAGAATTAGGTTCTATGCCTCCCCGCCGCATACACACTGTGGTGCCAGGGACTAGACCCAGCACCGCTTTGTACCAGGCAAACCCTGTAACCGCTGAGCCATACCCCCAAGCCCAAGCGCCATCTTTTAAAGACGATGCAGAGAATTTAAGGATTTGTGGATATATTTTCAACCGCCACAGTGACAGAGCCAGGCTTCAACCCCAGGCCTCCACATTCAATCCACTTATGATTCAGAGGCACACGCTCCCCGGGCTGGCGCTGGGCTCCCACACTCTGGTCTGCCCTGGAGTCCTCCATGGCCCACGGCCTGCGCGCCGAGCTCTGGACCTGTGCCGGGTGCATGTGCTCCCAGCTGCCGCCTCTCAGGCTAAGGGAACAAAGAGAACCTCAGATTCTCACCTGGGCATAAGAATGTCACATAGAGAAAAGCTACCTTTCCAGGTGCCTGGATGACAAAACATAAGCTCTGGGTCCTCACTGGGTCTGAGATCAAGAAAGTGGATGCATCAGAGCAAATCTGGAAACCAACCAGAAACACAAGATTGCCTGACAATGCAGTGGGTCAGATTCCGCAGATCCCCTCACTCGGCATGTGTATGTCCTGGCACATTCTGAGACTTTCGTGCCAGAACTGTTACTTATTGGAATATCTCTCAGTTGTCAGGAGCGGACCCCAAATGTCACCCCTGTGCCAGCAGCTCCCCTTGGTAACACACCTGAAGAGGCGAACGCTGCGGTGCCTGGTGAATACCATGGCCGTTAGAACTCTTATCTCCACACCGCACTTTATGCCTATTAAGAAACTCACGCTTCTTTTGTGTAACTTGGGCTTTTTGAGGCTTTGATACCGGACCCAGCTTCTCTGCTTCCAGCACCGGAGTGCAGCACAATACGTGTGACCGTTGTGGCACTGAGATTTGGAATTCCAGAAGAGTCTTCAGTAAAGACCCGCTGAAAGGTGGGACTGACTTGGGGCCTCCAAAAGATATAAGTGAGGGCTGCTGTTCCCAGGCCATAAACTACGTATTTAATCTTTTCTTTTCAGAGTTTCATTACAGATACAACACCCCAGGACAATATTACTTCAATCATAGAGGAAGAGGTGCCTTTGTCCAGCCCTGCTCTTCAGAGGAAAATAAAAATTCTGCACCTCGTAAGTACATCTCCTGCATGAGCCCTCTATGTCAGCAACCTGTCTCCCGGGGTGGGAAATCCACGGGCCACTGGCCACTGCTTTCTCCTGGAGGGAGGCCTGCCGTCTCCGGTCTACGGCCTTGGTCTCCCAGACACCTCCAAATTCAGCCCACGCCTGGATGGCAAGGACTAAGCAGGGGCTGGGGGCGGTATGAAAACCCAGGGATAAAGGATTTTGAATGTGTTTTCAGTGCGATATATGCTGGAAGTATTTTAGGTACAAGTCAGCAACACATCACAAATGCTGGCTGGACAAATGATTGAATAATCGCCACTATTACTATGACTTTTAACAATGCCCAAAGCTTTTTTTACTATTATCTTTTTGAGACAGAGTCTCGCTATGCAGTTCAGGCTGTCCTTGAGCTCACTTTGTAGCCCAGGCTGGTCTCAAACTCACAACGATCCTCCTGCCTCAGCCTCCTGAGTGCTGGGATTACAGGCATCTGCCACCACACCCAGCCTTCCCAAAGCTTTTTTCTCTCCTCAAAGTCAGCATATAAATACTTTTTATACTCCTTAGACAACATATTGCTAATTCGCAATGTAAAATTTGGCTGTCTTTGAAAAAAAAAATTAAAATCCCACAAACATTTATAAAAGTGACAAAAGAGATGGCTCCTCCCTCCAAGAGGACAGGAAATTCAAGGCAAAATGTGAGTACGAACAGCAAGGTCAAAGTGTGCTATGGTAACACAAAGGAAGAAAGGTGACACAGTACTTCCAGTTTCACCCTTGAACGACAGTCGTGCGTAGCTCTGACAGGGGCCATATCCTTCCTTCACCCCTTCAGAACTCCTTCCCTCTGGGGATAGGGTACCAAAGGAGAATGCTGCTTACCTTTTACAAACGCCAAGGCCCAAGACAGAAGAGTGTCACTTACCTCAGTGACCTCAGTTGTGCCTTCCATATCCACCTGCAGCTGCCAGAGCCTAACAGACACTAAGGCTGAAGAAGCTGCAGGCCGCATTTCTTTACTGTCTCCTCAGCCTTTGAACCCACTATTCCAAAACATGTCTGAGGAGTACAACCGAGTCACTGAGATGTGACACCCTTAGAAGAATGTATAGTGGCTAAGAGCGAGAGCTTCTCCTCAGTGCTGACAGGAACCTTCCAGCAACTGAAGCTGACAGGAAATGGAGTGGCCGGAGGCTGTGAACTCCACCCGGGAGACGGTGTGCTCTCTCTGATGCTGCAGCTCTGTAGACTGGCCGGGCCCACTGGCCTTGTGTCTCTTTTGGAGCTTCTATGTTTTCAATAAAACCCAAAGTTACATTTGGAGACCACCAAAGAATTAAGATGGAGCTCGCTGGTGCCTTTATTCCTCACTGCCCAAGGCTAGGAGTCCGCACGACTAAATCTGGACTTTTGGCTTCCATCTTGCCCTCCGTGTCTGAGGGAGAGTCTCTTATAGCTTCCCTTGTCTGATGGGACCCTCTAGAGGGGAGCGAAGCCTGGCTGCTAGACACAGGTAAGACAGGGCACCTGGAGGGAGAAAGAGGAGACAGAGAAGGGAGCGGGGAGACGGAAGAGGAAGTGGAGAAGAGGCCTTCCTTCCCAATGAGAAAGCCCACTTCCTGACCACTGACCTGTCTCTCTTCCTGTCCCTGGATTTCTTGATGTCCATGGTGACTTTCCTGCAGTTTTCCTCTCTGTTTAGTCTATATTTCCTGGAATTGCCTTAATAACACACTTGTCAATGACTCCTAGAATCCTTGCTCCTAAAGTTGGGGAGGATTTCGGGAACCCTCGTCCAGCCTCTTGGAAGCTATTATCCATCCATTTGTATCAGATGAAGCAGTTGAGCCCATAGCAGTTAGAGAACATGCCCGCAGTGAGCACCCAGGGAACCTACACTCCTGGCCTCTTTTCTGCTAATGAAACAACTTCTAAATCGAATTTATTCCTGGGTGTGGTGGCGCACGCCTATAATCCCAGCACTCAGGAGGCTGAGGCAGGAGGATCATTGTGAGTTCGAGACCAGCCTGGGCTATGAAGTGAGCTCAAGGCCAGCCTGAACTGCATAGTGAGACCTTGTCTCAAAAAAACAAAAAATAAAATAAAATAAAATAAATTGAATTTCTATGTGTTCAGAATACTTGATAGAAAATGCCTTATTTTCTGTTACTGTTTTTACATAATTAAAATTTTAGAAAATTTTTAATTTATACTGAAAAGGAAATGACATATATCCACCAACCAGGGATGCTTTTTGGTGCTCTGGATTTAATCATAGCTATAATTTTTCAGCTTGTTCAAAACCAATACAGCTATGTTCCCACGGAGTGAATTCATGGTCCCTTCAAGATGAATGTGAGCCTGCATTAGGAAAGTAAGTATTCGTGATAGCCAATCATCAGTGAGGTGTAAGTAGTGTGTTTATTTGTGCATTACCTATCCAAGATCACCTAGGTTGTAGGTAGAAGAGCTATGATTTTAACCAAACCCTTTCTAATATTCAATCATTCACTTTTTTTTTTTTTTTTGGTCTTTTTGAGACAGGGTCTTGCTGTGTAGTTTAGGTGGCCTTGAGTTCACCACTTAGCCCAGACTGGCCTCAAACTCATGGCAATCCTTCTGCCTCAGCCTCCTGAGTGCTGGGATTACAGGTGTGCACCACCACGCCTGGCAATCATTCACTTACTGATTAAGCAAACATTTGAGTATAAATGCAGGATATTTTGTTAGATATTGAGGATCCAAAGACAAAGTTAACTGCTTTCTCTGCCCTCGCTGCACTTCCATTTTTGATAGAACCGCAAGGTGGTCTTTGAAACTGGCAAGAAGGGAACACGTGGAGGACTACTGAGCTAACCTGGGGGTTCGCAGAGGCTGAGCTCCAAGTTGTCAGTATGAGTGAGTCACCGAGGAGACGTGAGGACAGGAGTACACAACACGCAGTCCCAGAAGCTTCCTAAGGGGGAAGGCCCGGAAGAGAGGGGCTGGAGCCGCAGGCGGGAGGGGCAGAGGATGAAGACGCCCCTCCCTCCTGAGGATGAAGCTGACGGGCAGGGCAGGCTGCGCAGGGCTCGGCAGCTACAGGAAGGACTTCAGGCTCTTGGGAGCCACGCGAAGCCCAGGCATTGCATAACTGGGGAGCCTTGCAGTGTTCTAAAAGATCACCGTAGCCGTTGAGGAATGGGAAACGGATCAGAGGAGCCAAAGTAGGAGCAGAGCGTAACGGAGTAGAGAAACAATTCAGCTCTACAGTCAGGCTCACAGCCCGAATCCCAGCCCACGACCACAGCAGAGTAGTTTATTTTTGTTTTGTTTTGTTTTTTTGTTTTGGTTTTTCTCCGGTACCGGGAACCGAACTCACAACCTTGTGCTTGCCAGGCAGGCACTTTGCCGCTGAGCTAAATCCCCAGCCCCCAGCAGAGTAGTTTAAAAATGTGCCCTGCGGAGACTTCTTGGGTTGACATCTATGGTTCCGTGTTCTTCGGTTCCCCCATTTACCCAGATGTAAGACGGGCATAAAACAGTTCCAGATTCATCGAGAACTGATTCAGTGTATGTAGGTACTAAGACTCGGGCGTGGCTCACGACAAATACTTGGCTGTTACTGGTGGCTGCTGTCGATACTGCTGAGTGGTGACTGGCTGGGTACTTGGAGGGAGAACAGGCTGAAGCCCTTGCTCTTCTCGCGGGACCACCCCACCGCACCTTGCCCAGTTTTGTCTTACGCAGGGCCCTGATGCAGTCATTCTCATTCGGAGCACCGACCCCATGTGCTAAACTGCAGAACTAATTCATGTTACTGTGGTAGAGGCAGCGGGGTTAAGGGAGGCTCTGAAGTCACAGTATTTGAAGCGAGACTTTCTGAAGATGACACTGCTCACAAGGGCATGCTCCAAAATAATTTTAGCAGAGGGATGATGTGCAGGTAGTTGCAGGACAGACGTGCACACAGGCAAGTACTTGTGGCAGCCCTTAGGGCTACTACTCACGGTTGTGAAAAGCCTAACTCTCCCACGAGTGTTCTCACAAAGCTAGATGACTAGGCTCCTAAGCTATGCGGGGTACAACCTGGATGTGGTCCTGGATCCCCCTTCGACCAGTTCGGACTCAGGACCCCCCACGCCAAGCCAGACTCATTATTATAGGGTAGTCTAGGGGAGCCTACTTGCTTAAAGGAGGCTTTGATTTTCCTGCAGCCTCGGCCTTTTTGCTGTGTAAGTTCTGTGTGGTCCTAAGATGGTCTCAGTCCAAGATGCCTGCAACTGGCAGGATTTTTGGGTGTACATTTGTTTTATTAATATTCAGAGTAGCATGTTGGTCCCAAATAATGAGAAATAAATAAAAATTGTTGTTGGGAATCTTGCCTTTTCTGTTGCTAAGAAAAAGACCAATTACAGGAGGATAAACCATCACAGTCATGGTAACAACCTTGTTTTGAAGTTCGGCGCCACGGCTCTAGCACAGCTGTGAAGAGGCTGCGTGCTCAAGTCCTGACACCGGGCCCCACACAGAGGGCCACCGGAGCAGAGCTGAACGGAGGGGTGTGCCTGAGGTGCGCTTTTCACAGGTCCCATGTGCTTTTGCTTTCCAGGAGGAATCTAAAGACTTGTACGCCCAACAGTGCAGAACCTGAAATCCTCCCTCCCCACTTCCAGTCCTGCAAGATTTCTGGAAACAAATCCTTATGTGACTTCAATAGCATCGAAAAAACAGAATTTAAGGTGAGGACTTAGAAAAATACTTAGGGAGTCCTTGCAGCTAGTATGTCTGGTCTCGGGGACCACAGAACTGCTAGCTTTTAGGGCCTTCCAGTCTGGGGTTTAAGAAAATGCTCTGGTAAAAACAATTTGCAGTCAGCATTCACATAAAGCCTCAGCAAGCACATGGTTTGTATTATTCCTAAATTGGTTCCAAAGGACATGGCCTGGAGAAAGTGTTTTGTGGGTGGTGCCTCGGCTGCAGAAGTCCCCTGCCCAGGCTTCCAGGCCTGGAGTCTGTGCCAGTGAGTCTGTGCTTAGGGATGCCAGCAGTTTCCTCTTTCAAACCACTAACACTAACCCCCACTTTCAATGCTTTCGAATGTTTGCACACACAGGTGCTGTACGCCTGCACACCCTGGCCGCGCTGTGGTCTCCAAACCCCTTCATTGTCCCCACAGAGCTTTTCTTTCTCTGCAGTAGGCAAACATCCCAGCAGGTTGCTGACCTCACCCTCTGACTCATGCTCATCCATCACGTGCTGATCTTTTTTCTCTCCCTTTCCCTAACTCATACATTCCATGTCAGCCTGGTTTCCTAGGAAACCAACCCTCAAAAACAGAAATAAACTGTGTGGAAAGTGCTCCCAAATTCCCATCTTGAAATAGTTAATAATGCGAGAAACGCACGATCAGAAACATTAGTAAGTTTATGTAACTAAAATATGTGGGCTTCTCCCCTGTAGCTTTTAAGCTCGGCTTTGGATCATGCTCTGAAGACAGCAAGCATTTTGAAAAGAACTACTGATCAAATGATTAAAACAATCGCAGAAGATCTTGCCAAAGCAAAGAGATGGAGGAATGGACTGAAATACTAACCCACGGAAACCAAGTTTAAAAAGAAAAAAAATATGCGAAGAAAACTTGATCAACGCCCTCTCCTCAAATATTTTACTTGCTATACAATTTAGAAAGATATCTTTTTAAGAAAATGCTAAAACTATAAAAGGGTAACACAAAGTGTTTAAATGGGAAAAAAGGACCTCTGATGCTTAAAACCAAAACAAACTGAACCAAAACAATAAAATTTACTTTTAGCTATTACTTTGGAAAAATTAAAGTTTGTGTCAGTGAAGATGGCGAAAAGAACTACTCTCAAATACTGTTGGTGGAATATAAACTGATGAAACCTTTATGGAAGGAAATTTGTTAACACAGACGTTCCTTGGCTTATAAGATCTATATCCTGATAAAACCACAGTAAGTCAAAAATACCGTAAGTCGAAAATTCATGTAATAAACCTAACCTACTCCACATCATTGCTCAGCAAAACTTTCACTGACAAGTGTCTATTGTTTCCCCTGCGACCCAAGAGAACTGCAGGCAGCTGTTCGTGCCCAGCATCCGGCTGCCCAGTACGATATACTGCCCAGTACACTAGCCCAGGAAAAGATCAAATTTCAAAGTAGACTCTACTAAATGCACATCAATTTCATACCATCATAAAGTTGAAAAAAAATCCAACCATTACAAGTGTCTCCAACTGTACAAATTCTAGTTTATGTTTTTTTTTTGGTACTGGGAATCAAAGTCTGGACCTCGCGCTTGCCAGGCAGACACTTGTGCCGCTGAGCTATATCCCCAGCCCCAAACTGTACACATTCTTAAAGCACTTACTTTCTGACCAGCAATTCCACTGCTAAGAATTTACAGATGACTGAACATTCCACTATACAAGTACAAGAAGGGCCATTGGATACTGACAGTAATACCCTCAAAGGGAGCTAATCTTAAATACAGTGTAACGACCAGGTAAACAATAATACTCTGCAACCAGTGATAAGAATGAGGCGGATTATCTCTAAGGCATTGATAAAAACAAGATACCTAACAATATACCCAGTATGACCTAACTTGTGTATATTTTATTATAGGGCATATATATTTTCTAAAAAGATGCACAGAAATCTTCAGTGACCTCCAGGAAATAAAGCTGAGGGTTTTGGGAGAGAACAAATTTCTACTTTTGTTGCAGAACCCAAGAGATCAGAGAGACCAACGGGGAGAAAGGAGGGTTTATTTCCATGATTTTAGATGTACACTGACCCAGCCGAACTCACGTCCACAGTGCTGGGCGTTAGGACAAAGGAAAGGTTCTAGTTTTATACCTTTGGCTGAGGGGGTTGGTCTTGAGAAACTGAGGTGGTGGGGGGAAGCGAGGGTACAGATGCAAGACAAAGCAAGTAATCACTTAGCCTTGAAAGAAGACGGAGCCTTGAGTCCTGCAAGAACAAGATGACACAAACTCTTCACGGAACATAGCTGCCCATCTTCTCCGTACTAAAACAAGAAGTTCTGTAACTACGGGGTGAGGGGAGTTCGAGAGGGATTGCTCTTTACGTTCCGCTTCACTTTTTCCCTATTTACTGCATGACTTTCTTACAATAGAATTACATTTAAAGATCTCTTGAAATCATGTGAAAATGACAGTCCTACACTGATGAAATTTTAGAAAAAGAGAATCCATTAAAACTGCGCATCAGGGATTAGGTTTGTAATAGAATAGAATGCTGGAGAGGCTTTTGATTTAGTCTCATAAAAATGATTTATTACCTCTTAATGACAGCAGCAGATTATTGGTTCCTTCCCCCTCTCCCGAGGGCACCCCATGCACTCTCGACAAAAGGGTTCCCAGCCCCCGGGGTTCAGCTCTGCGGTGACAACGGAGCTGAACGCACTCCCGGTTCAGATGTCTGTGCGAACCAAGGCAGCTGCTATTCCTCTAGGTGGCTGGAGAATGGGCTATTTTTAACTTTGGGCTTTGAAACTGGTTTAGAGTACCTGGGAAGAGATAACGCAGAGGTCAGCTGGGAGATAACTGACTCTGTGGCTACGTTTACATTAGTCTGTGGCACTACAGGGCAGACAGCAAAGGCAATGCTCTGTAACTGTATATTCTGTCACTTACAGTTTATGAAGTTCATTTCTTTTTTTTTTCGGGGGGGGGG